TCGGAAGAGTAGAGATGATCAACGACTATAAATTACAGTACTCTTGTTAATCTAAAGGATTAAAAATAACAGTAATTTGAAAGGTAGCTCTTTAAGTGCTCTTAACACAACATGTGTTAAGATAACTGGCACCAATTCAGAAAATACTATCATCTGTTGAAGCACCACCACAGTTGCTTCAACATCTGCAGCATTCTTGGATTTTCACAAAAAAAGTCTCAGTTCCATTTAGCTTGTGATAACACATCCAGCCTACACCCAAAAGCGGGCTAAGAGCAGCTTCACTACTTTAGCACATTTAGTGTGTAGTCTAGGCAACATAAAAGGAAGCAAACTATAAATAAAGAGGTATATAACTTCTTAAACTAGAGCTGGAGGGGAGAGTAGAGATGGGACTTGCCTTCAAGATGCTACTCCCTCTCTCCCCTATTTCAAGAGATTAGTAAAGATATTACAAGGAAGGGAAGCGAGGGAAAGGGAGAAGTTTGCAAGACAAAGGAAGGAAATTAAGTACCTGTAATTTGTCAGAGACAAAGCGGAAAGTTTGTGTGCACATGCGAACAGGTTATGCTGTTAGCACATTCCAGTGATAAGTTATATACATCAAGACTATAAAAAGTATGTGGAAAAGACAAAAGCCTATAAGATCCCAGGAGCGAAAGGTAGAAGTTGATTGTGGGGTTTTCTCCCCGAGGGCGAGCAGAGTGTCAACAGTCTTTCGAATGTGACGAATATCCGACTGCAGGATGTCATACGGAGAGCAGAGGTCAGCCTATCCCGAAGGGCAGCCATTAGAACAGAAAAAAACAGTGCATAAAATTAAAAATAGAAAGATACTGATAAATAAGTTATCACAATACTCTAGTATTAACATATAGGAATAGTTGCTTCCTAGTATTGCCTTAGTCACTAGACATTCCAATTCTCTTTTATTTCCTCTAAGTACTGAAGCTACTATATAATATCAAAACGTTAAGGCAGAAGGGCGCAGGCCTTCAAATCTTTCCAAAATTATGCCCAGATTCACAAGGGTGAGGAGATGCATGTGATCTGCTTGTTCCAATGAGATCTGCACACCTTTGTACCTGGGCCTTATTCAAATGCTTAAATGGAACCAATTGTAAAGTCTAACTTATATATAATAGCAAACGGTGGGTTAGAAAGTTATTAAAAGCATAAGCAGCAGCAATATGAAGTTTCAAGAAAAAGTACTTTAAAAAATTGTTAGAAGTAGGCAAAATTCTCTAATGTAATAATCTAAAACTTTATATTAAAATATTGTCTTAAATGATACCCTTGAATGGTAACTGAAAAAGTCGATGTAGCACTAACTATACTTAATTTTAACAGAAGTTCCTAAACTGAAGAATCTGACACCAAATTCTTAGGCAGAACTTTAGGTTATTAGCAGGTTAGATTCCCACACTTATTTTTGGAAAGTATCAACAGTTTCACTAGCAATTTACTCTAGCATAGCTATACAAAATGAAGTGTAATATGTAGTAACAGTAATTATAATAATATCATCAATATGCACACAATATTTAACATGAAAATCAAACCAAGTAACTACTAGTACTTTCAATATGCAATCTAGGATACATCATTTTACATTGCAAATGAAGTCTTACTACCAACAAACAGTGAATACTTATTGAAGTTACTATTATATGAAGAAAGAGATCCCCTGTTTCAAGGGAACACTATTTCTTTAGCAGCTTTGCATTCTCACTTGCTTAATGAACAGACAGCGTGCCCAATAGATGAAGACATGGAAGTTCAGATGTCTGTCTTCTGTTAGTGCAAGTTTCAAGGTCTAGTTGGCAAATAAATTAAACTTTCAACCATTTAAAAGGCCCTTCTATCCTGAAAAATCACTAGTGAAACTGCAAGTCAGAACCATCAGTCATACACAAAGAAAAGAGTGACACCTTTTTTTTTTTTTTGCTTACCATGACCGGTTCTAGCTCTAACAGGAGTTAAAAGCTGCAGCATTTTTATTTATTTATTTTATTTTTATTTAGGCCAACAGATACATAGAGGGGGAAAACCCACCCTGCCTATCAACAGCACTGCTATTTTTACAGTAATTTTTCAGAATTCTTTTCAACTCAAAATTCCAGTGCAATAATAAAATTGTACTTGGCTCTTTCTGAAGACTGAAAACTCACAGACAGATCAGAACATGCTAATCTTGCTTAAAAATAGGATAGGACTGTAGTCAAGAACATCTATATCTATAAGCTGCTTACCAGAGAAACCAGTTTTAGGGCAAACTACTCACAACTATCAACTATGTAATACATTGCACTTTTACCAGAGACACCAATAAACCCAGCAAATACTGGACGTATTTTGTAATAGCATATAAGACTCAATTCCTACTTGTTGCATATATATCCCAAAAATAAGTATCTAAGATACATTGAACTTAAATTTATACTAAAAAATTGTCAGAACTTTTTCTTAAAAAAAGGACTTATTAACAATTTTTTGTCCCTCTACTGCAGTCAAAGGAAAAGGAAGTAATTTCAGAGTTAGAGCACGAGAGCTGGTAATAGGTTGAATTTCTACCAAGACTGAACAAGTTGCTAACCAGAGATTAACACCCTAAGCAGTACAGAGGAGAAGCCAAAGCTACAAAAACAGCCAACACATGCAGAACAAATTTCCTATGGGAGCTGCCATGCTGCACTTTAGTGAAATCCTGTGAAACCTGCTGGAGTCTGAGAAGTGTCTGATCATTTTTGCTTATTTTTGTGTGACAGTGGATAATCTGGTGTTACACTCACACTTTATTAAGTAAAAGGTTTATACTGCATTAAAAAACATGACCTCATGAAATAGTGAAAAAGCATATCACCCCCACCGGCAGTCTCAAAGACAGGTAACCACCTGTCCATCACAAGCACTGCCCTTCTCATTTAAGGGAGCAAAATTATGACTAGTAAGAACTAAAAAGAGACATATACTTAATCATTGCATTTCATTAAACCATACAGCTGCCAAAATCATGCACAAGAATAAACCCAGTAAGACAGAAGCGCAACGACAAAAGCATAACCAGCTGTTTGTGTACACAAACCACCCTCGTCCTACATGCTCCTGCAGTGACTGTGAAAATAGAGAGCGTTTCAAAACCAACCTCCTCAAATTTTGGTAGGAGTCAAGAGTAAGTTTGCAGAAGTGCATATGCACTATACTCAAAACAGAAATGAAAGGAACCTCGGAGTTATTTTTTTTTCGCTTCACTCCATTCAATGGCCAAATAGAAACCATTCCTGAGCCCAGAATGAAAGGGTGGAGAAAGGAGTCCTACCTGATAAAACTTACTGCAACTTCATGGGTGTGTCATGATGAAACTACGAAGAAGTAACTGATTACATGAACTGATCGGAAAAAAATGCTCTGTAATATGGATTACCAAGAATAACAACTACCAGGAATGAAAACTTAAGTTAAAAAGCTTAAGTTAAAAAGCTTAAGTTATTGATTTGCAGGTTAAAATGACTGAGTCTACTACTACTAGTATGAATATCAATTCCAATGTGGTAATTGACAAGTTGAGTGTCTATGAATATTTTTGTCTTTACACATACTGTTACTGGTTTTATGAAAGAACAGTTGAAACCAAAATACTTCCATAACTTTACTTACATACTCATGTGATAGTAATTCAGACTCTCCTGATGATTTTTAATGCCTCTGACGTGAGATGTCACAAAGAGTAAAACTACATTTAGAACTGGTACATTCGACATTTTGGAGGCCACACTTACCAACAAAGAGAAAGAAGGTTAAAAAAAGCTTTATTTTTTTAAACTCAGAAAATGTGAGAGGGTAGGTGCAATATAGGTGGACTGGGTAAGCTTTATGGGTGGTGTTCATATAGTAGTGGGTTCATGTGACATTAACAATCTGCTCCAGTAAGCAGCACCATTCAAGTCCTGCACGTAATTCTGAAATATACAGGACAGGCACCCCCTACTTACAAAACATCTACTGCCACTTGCTTTTTCAATCTCTATCAGCCAATAAGTAGGGGTGTTTTTCATTTCTATTACAGAGGAGATTAGGCAATTCGAGTTTTCAGTTAACAGTGTAACATGAAGTTGTCTTTTGTACCTTCCTGGGTGATAAAGATTGTACCTTTTCTGTCATATACCTCCTGGAGGGCATGGCAGACATTTTCTGAATCTCCAGGCTTTCAGATTCTTACCTGTCACCATCCCTTTCCTACGGCAAACAAAAATTTTTTGTCTCAAAAAATTATCATTTGCAAAGAAGAGTTAGTGGCAAAACTGAATCCAACTTGATTGTCCTACAATTCTCAGTTTTGATAGCCTAGTTTCTTATTAAAGCATCAGAATCATGTACTTAAAACATTCCTTTGCATATGATCCAGCACGTCACTTCTGCATACGATCAGGAGCATCATATTGCCATTAACTGAAAGTGATTTCAACATGCCACCCGTTGTAATGAATTTCTTATCTGGCAGGTAATGGCTTTCAGAATCATCTCCATACCAGGTCATCATAAAGAGATGCTCACATTCCCGAATTTTGTATTGGTGATTCTTTGGACAAGATATCAGCTCCCAGTACTTACTACGGCACATTTGGATATGAATGCCAATTGCATTTTTCTACACCTGGATGAAGTTTTCCGGGATCATTCTGGGAAAAAGCAATTTTGACCCAAGAATTGAATGCTGAAAGCCACAGAAGTAAGAGACCATGCACATCAGCACAACACAGTAATTACTTAGCTATTTTCTTGTTTTCACTTTACGTGACTTGACAAGATATTATTCTAAACCGGCGGAGTTCAGCAAATAGCATGTACTCTATTCCACTCCAAAAATAACTGAAAACAAACCAAGAAGAACTATGACAAATTAAAATCCTTAAAAAAAACCCCATGCAGCAAAATTTCAAGTTAACTCTCGGGAACTAAACATGGGCATAAATACAACAGAAAAGCCGAATACGTAGGAGTATTAGGATCTGTACGTGGAACTTTCCCAAAAGATGCTTGTTTTAAAAAAAGGAAATAATTCACTACATTCCTTTTGCTACCTTGTTCAGAGATAGTTAGGGAATGTACAACTCCTCAACCTGAAGCAGCATTAAACACACCATTCTGTAGTTCTTTGAAGACTTTGACAGCTGAGTATCACAATTCCTATCACACAACTTTGTATTCCTAAAACACATCCCTACAACACACAGCTAAGTTTATCACCTACCAGCTAGTTCCGTAACACGATGGATTTTCATAGTATATAGCAGACATACACAGTTGCAAATTACCAACAGCTAATCAAAAAGAATATCCTCAGAGTACTTAAAACCTATCATAAATTCAAAATTGCAAGCTATTTGTTTAATGTTTAAATGAATGAGGTTTCTCCTCTCAAGAGAAGTTAATGCTTATTTAGGTTCATAAGGATGGTTAGTTTATAAACCAGTTTGGTAAGATTGGGCCTTGTGCTTAAGGCCCTGTGCAACTCTGCAACAAATATCATTTAATAAAATAAAGCAAAATATTATACACTAATTGCAATGGAATCATCAAAGAGGAGGGATAACAGATACATAAAAATGTCTATTCACAGAAAATAAAAGGGTATTTTTCCAAAAGCTTACTTATAGAAATCCAAAATAAAAAACACTCGGAGTAAAGGCTTACTTATCTGTAACATGGCACAGCAAGGATCTTTGTAAATATTCCTAATTTATTTCCATTTCTGAAAGATCTCCCGACATCAATGAAAACAGCCCTTGGCCTTTTCATTCCCAAAAGGCTATATCCAGAAAAACCTGACTTGCATTCTAATTCACTGAATACTTTAAGATGCATCGCAAGATAATGAATTTTGGGGCAGCTTAACAAACACTCCATGTCTACAAGCCCACAGCACTGAGATTTTGATCATCTTTGAAGTGAAATTGTACCTATAACATGAAATCATTCTAACATAATAAGTTACATAGTTACAAGAACTAAATCAACCATCATAACTTAGAGATCCAGCCCACCACAGTGAATTCTCGAATTGGATTTACGATAAACCGTTCATTGGAGCTCTAAGATTAAGACTCTTCCTCCAAATTCCTACGGAGAGCAAAAGCAATCTGTTACTTCTGCTGTCCTCCAAATCAAATGCTAAAATATAGAGAAAATATACAGAATTCAAACCGGAATTCTTTCCCAATGTGAAGTCTTTTCATTACCATCTTCTCCCCAGGGGCATGGTGGAGGAGATACACACAAAATATATTCTGTTTCAGCATTCTTGAAACACAATTTAGAAAGAACTCAATCTTCATTATGCTGTCATATGTAGGCAACAGTGAAAATATATCATGCAATTTTCATATTTTCAGATTTAAAAGACCTTGTATAACACTTTTACCTTCTTTTGAGGGTCATGTACTTGAAATTAACTTTTTCTTAATAGGTACTTCTAGACCATAAGAGAGTCTTTGAAATATTCCCAATGCAACTCCAGAATTCATTACATTAATGATAAAGATATTTTTTCCTAATTAATGAGAATAAATTACATGCTGAATGCTGCTGTTCTTAAATGAAAAGCATCAAGTGCTGCAACTTCCTTATTTGCAACTTCTGAAACACTTACACCTACATTATACAACCTTCCTCATACATACTTTCCATACTTAACACACAGGCAATGCTTTTCTTCACGTCACCGCAGAAGTGGTTTAGTACAAGAGATGAGTGTCATTAGTCACTTTTACAATGCATAAAATACAGTACTTAATATTATAAGGAAAATCAATCATTAAAAAGAAGGAACCCATATTCTAAAAGCACTGGGTAAAAATGTAGCTATATTATATGATAAAAGAAATTAGTGAACCTTTGCTTAACCACATATTACTCAATTACTATATTCCTTACTTATTTTCCATGGCAAAGATAAGAAGGTATTGGGGATAATACTGAATTACTAAAGTAAGACAAAAGTTGCAGTTTTTAAGTGCTATGACATTAGCCACTTAAATGCACTATAGTAATATAAATAAATCACATTACTTAGATCAACTTTTAAAATTATGTCTTGATTGCTGAAAAACTAGTTCATTAAACTTCTTCAGCTTTAAAGTAATTCACGTCCTCTGCATTTCTGATGATCTAGAAATGACAGACTTAATTAAATTACCTCTGGTATCCCCAGTTTTCTACATGCGTCCAGAAAGTTTTCCACATTTCTCCTGCATTTGGCCATGCTAAGTTTAGGCTGTAAAAACAAGAAAAAATACTTTATGGCAAAAGGAGTCAAAAACATTCATTCAGTCAATTCACTTATTCTTTTACTGATGAACCATTTCCATATTTCTCCTGAAAACAACCAAAAAATTCTGCTCAACATTTTTCTACTCCTCTAAAAACATCACGCCTACAAATATAAACTGAGTACATAAAAACTGTGCTTTTATTTAGTTCAGCTAAATAAAAGATTTTGATTTAGATCAGCACATTTAGATCTCTACTTGTTTGCATCCAGGTTGTGACACTCTAAAACCTGCCTCTTAATGATTATTTGTGATAGATGACATTGATTTTTCTAGACAGCAAGTAAACTGATAAAGGATTTCAATATATACCATGGAGAACAGACTTAACTGTCATTAACAGGCTCTTAATTTTGATATTTTTTTTTTGTACTCGCAAGCGTATAGTAACCACACACAATTTTAATGTCTTTGAAGAACAGATTTCCTATTACTGTAGAATTTCAACTACTTCCATGATTTGTCTCACTCAGGACTTTTCACCAAATACATACAGAAATATGATGTTACTAAAAAAAACCCCAAACAACTCACTATTTAACTTTTTCAATACAAGATGTGAAACAAAGGTAATTCCTGAATATCCACTTAAATCAAGTATTCACTATAGCAGCAGAGACTAATTTTCTAGGCTAAAGTAATTTGAAGGCTGTTTCAAGCAAGGGAACACCATTAATATAAAGTTGAAGCAAAATTAAAACAGATTTAAAATATTTGCTTTCTTACTTAAAAAAAATTAAAAATTTAAAAAAAAATAAAACTTGAGGTTTTGCCCCATAAGTTCAAGTTTGCATATTTTGGCAATGTTATATTTTTATTGAAGACAGAAGTAATTTAAAATCAAGCAACAGCAAAAGAAACTCCACTAGACCATCTGAGAAAATGTCTTTTTCTTAACATCTGTCTTCCTGGAAGTTCTTATAGACTGCCTCTGAAACCCAGATGCTATTCTCAGAAGCGAGTATCAGGCTGTACATGGCAAATGTTTACCAACATGTACATTAAAAAAAAAAAAGGCTGATAGTCGAAAACCTCCGAACCAGACTAGTATCAGAAATCTGAAACAATGATCTGTCTGAGAAAAAAATCATCAATAAGCAGATAAAACACTAAGAAAACAGAATTTCAAGAAATGCACACACACGGAGATTATATCAATTTTATGTCCTGAAATCTTCAGGTCCTTAGGTTTGGCAAGCCAATATTAAATCACTGCAGTGCATGTTTCTATTCCATTCTGTCTGCAGATAAAAGGAATAATTTCTACATTTAACCCAACAGGAAGAACGTGCTGTAAGTGCACATCTGTAACATGACATCTGCTAAGCCAAACCTTGCTAAAGTTAACTTCATATTTTTTCAATCAACAAACAAGGGGCTAATTTTCTTTTAAAAAGGGTCTCCTAAAATAAAATCTTATATAGAATTTCACGCTGTACTGAACAAAAAGGCCATTATGAAAAAATCTGATCTGTTGCTAGATCAGAGAGGGGCAGGATAATTTTATTCACTTACAGATGTATATACATACACACACACACATGTACTATATATTCTACATATATATACAAAAATATATAAAAACTAATGAACATTTGAATTTGTAATAATGTTGCCCCTAACAGCAAAGAACATTCATTCAACAGCAACCTGTTTTATGTAACTAAATAATATTTGGCAATAAAACAGCAATTTTTTAATTCCTCCCCTGCAACCCAAGGCAGCAGGAAACATCCAACTTACTACTGCTGGTGAAGGTACATGAATACTTCCTACAGACCGAGGACGAACATGATTTACTAAATGGCAGAGCACTACACCATCCATCAGAGCAGATCCCAAGTCTTCAGGCAAACAAATCTTTAGTCTTGTTTCGATGTTCTGCAAACAAAGAACATACGCACACTTTAATACAGAAACAGATGAGGGTGAAAAAAGGGGAATATATATCCTCATATTCTCCTCCTCTCCTTCTCTTACTCCGTCCTTTCACCATTCCAAGTCTTCTACATATCCATCTCAAATTATCATCAGCCCTTTGAATCAGAACTACATTGTGTTAATCACTGTACAAGCAGGGAATTCCCTAGTAGCCTAAAAATTACTTAGGAAGCATCAGAGCGATCAGCAAGGCAAAACATTCAGGTTTAAAAGAAATTTTTTGGATACTTGCTAAAAGTAAAACTGAAGTCTTGCTGAAAAGAATTTGGTATTGCAAAACAAATACTTGGAAAATATTTGAGAATTTTCCAGAAAATAAAACCGCTACAATAAGACTGTTACACACGATGAGTTTCCTAAATTGCGCTCCAATCTTGAAAACATTCCAACATTATACTTAGAAATAACTCTTAGATTCACTCTCAGAGATAACTACTTCCATTATCTTAAACCAGGTATTTCTTATTCCTAGTTGAACCTCCTTAGAGTCACTACTCTCTATTAATACATTACCTCAATCTACGCTGGGCATTTTAGATAAAAAGAAATTATTCTCTCTAGAATCAAAGGAGAGTGTAGGTCAGAAGGGATTTCTGAAGGTCACCTGGTCTAACAAATTTGAACTGAGATCTGAGCCTTGGTTAGTTAAGTTCTGGATATCTGCAAGGAAGGAGATACCACAGCATTTCCAGGCAACCCTGTTCAGTGTTTCACCATCCTTATTGCAAAGAAATTTCTCCTTATAGCTTGAAATACTTGAAATTTCTTTCTCTACAATATGTACCACTGCCTCTCATTCTTTCACTGAGCATTTTTGAAAAGCCTGGCCTTGTTTTTGCTGTTACTACCCTTCAGGCAGCTGAGGACCATCATAAGATCCTCAGCACACTCTTCTCCAAGCTAAAGAAATCCAGCTCTTAGCTTCTTCCTCCGACATCCTTTGTTTCGGTGCCCTAACCATGAAGCAGCCTCCACTGAACTCACTCTGGGGTGTCATGGTATTTTCCCAGTTTTTCTTTTACTAGACACACTACTCATGTACTCACATGTATGGTCTCATAAGTGCCAAACGGAGGAGTGCATCACATGCACTAATACAACATTTTGTTTTCACCTTGGATTAATTAATAAATTAGAAAACATCTTCGCTATACGAGATATGTACAAAAAGAATACATTTTGAGACTTTTTTCCCAGATCTGTTAAACAGGTTTACATAAACTTATGAATTAAAAATTCCTCCTCTTAAAACACTGATTTGCCTGTTGGGAGACTATATAGCAGAGAAGTGGGTTTTTTTATGAGCACAGGGCACTTACAACACTCATTCAATGCCATTTCCTGCTCGAGTTCATGGTTTGAGACTGGATTTAATTATAATTGAAGACTTCAAGAAGCAGATCAATTCACTTCCAATTTTGCCACCACTGAAGAACTGCTCTCTTTCAAAAGTCATCCACACTACAGCAGCAATTTGTTCCACTTAGCATGTCAAAACTATTGAACATTTACCTTTTGAGTGACAAAAATCAACCAGTATTCCTCACTAAACTCTACTGCTCAAGTGTAAGTGGCAAATCTCTCCCGAGATGACAACTGTCTGAAGTGACCACGGATGTACACAAAAATCAAATGGAGGAAAAGTACGTCTCTAAAGCAAGGAGTTTTATGAAATGGAACAATTTCTGTGAAAATACACCATTCTGAAGAAAAAGGGGGAATGCATGGGAAAAATACCAATATTCTCACAATATGCAGCTCAGGTGAAGTGATTAAGCTAAATGTAAATGTGTATTTACATTTCTAAATAAGGAACCTGAGTTACAGTTGTTCCTTCTTGCTCAGTACCCATTTTGGTTAAGGCTGCAGGTTGTGTGGAGTCTCACTAAATTCTAACATACCACGAAACAATCAAAAAACAAAATACACTAACAGATAAATTTATTCAATAAGTATGAGCTTAATGACTTGGATGTTCTGGGCTATTTTCTTGTACAGTACATGATGAGATCATCTGGAGGTTACTTCTCTCACTAAAGGACCCAGTGTACCAAAGTAAACTAATTATTTGAAAAATCTCACTATATGCTTCCAAACAGGGCCAATCTTTTATCTTCTGTCCTCACTCCTTGACTTGCACTCAAACTTCTCACAAGAGACAACAGAACTTTCATTTCAGGACACAAAGCTTCAGGGTGAGGGCAAAGAAAGTACATGGAGCTGAAGGTCAGTAACACATTAAATCAGTATTACTGGTAATACCTAATAAGGATCTTTACACTGTAATAAGTCTCCATGATCATGCCTGATATGGTGAATAACCTTGTTCTGCTTTTCACTGTGAGGATTAACTGAACTAATGCACAAGGCAGGAACCCTGAGGACATTATTTTCAGAAACAATCACTTGGGGACTTGCTACATACTTTTGGTAACTCTTTAACAAACGTCAAAAGGTGCATTGATGCTGCTGACTAGACTACACTCAGAAGAGCTACATCCTAGTGCAGTTCATTACTGCTACTACCATGTTTTTCTCCATTACTAGTAAGTCTGTCTCATGTAAATCCTGCACCTCACTCTTTTGGCATCATCCAAGTCTAGAGTTGGCAACATGCTACATTGAATCAAGTATGCTGAATCTTCATTCTGTTCAAAAATTCAGCAAGACAAAGTAAGATTAATCCAGACTTCAAACAGGGGAGGTAAGAGAATGAAGTTCTAAAAAGTCCCTAAAGTCCTTTCCCTAAAAATCCTCATAGCTCTGCATTAAACAACTTGCCTTTTAAACGCTATTTGCTAAGGAGTAAAAAAGTGAATCCTTTTGCTTTAAAATTAAATACAAGACACGTTATTTAAAATAAATGAATAATTTTGAAATTTATCATTCCATGAACATAATGACATAAGAACAAATGATCTTGTCATTCGGCTATGAACATCAAAGTCATCTATCATACTTTCAGGATTTGCACTGCATTTAGCAGTGCCACGATACCATCTCTTCTGTTGGTAACAAGACGTAACTGGAAACACTGACAAGTTCAGGCTCACAACTTTCCTTGTGACAAAGGTTGTCCTATTTTTTTTATTTTCTTTTAGACATAATTAGGTGTCGCACAAACAGTGCTAGGTATTACCTGTGTAACACAGACCCTATGCAACCACATGCAGCAGTTTTGGTATCAGGCTCTAGCTTCTATACTCAAGATGGTATCAGGAAACCATCTTGTACATTCAGATCTTCAAGTGATGGAATAGTAATTTTATTTCTAAGAAAGCCGTTGAAGCATTAGTCATTTGCTTTAAAAAAAAGCTTCTAACGTCATCTTCAACTAATAGATTTCATTATACCTTTTACTTGCTAGACTGAAGACTTCTCCAGCTGATTGGAAATAGTCTCCCGACCTCTCTACCTCTTAAGTGATCACTTCATCCTTTCTGATGAAATTACATAAACTGTGCAAGGCATGCTGTTTAACTGTATGTCAATCAGGTAACTCCCATTATTTCCCATCTTTACAAAACCTTTCCTGAAGTACAGACATCTGACGGTGATAAGGCACTTCAGGAATAGTCTCATCAACGTGATTTGCAGAAGTAATACTGCCTCATTTAACCTTTTTAATATTCTCCTACTTAAGACAACTTTCCAAAAGAACATTAAAAAAATACATTCCATTAGCACAGGTTAACTCTACGAACACTCACATACCTCACGTAGCTGTTCCACAAGCTCTCTTTCTTCTCTCATCTGCTCCATTTTCCTTCGAATTGTAAACTGTGGGTCTATTGATTCCAAATTTCTTTGTGGTCTTAAGAACACTATGTTTTAAAAAAGACAGATTTTAGTTTAAAAACAAACACCTTGATTTATTAATTTCTAAATGAAGCAAAACCCGTAGGCACTGTCTCCAGCAAAAACTGATAGAAAATTTTGCTGTCCTCAACAAGACAGAAAAATCTGATCTTGGATTACAATCATAAATGGATATTTTCTGGATGTTGCTTTGAATGGCATCCTGCACCATCAATGGAGTGGATAACTTTTCAACCAAATCCTAATCTCAACAGGCAAGTTTTATCAGATGATCAAGTGCCAGCACTGTCCCTTAGAGATTCTGATCTGTACAAAACTTTGCAACTAACATGGCAGGAAACACCTCTTGATCTTCTAAGTAGAATCCTCTCCTACAAGATGCTGGATTGTGTAACAAGCTGTGACAAGCATCTTCCTACACAGGACAAATTGCTTACTAGATAAGGTTATACTGAAAAAAAACCAAAAACAACCCACCACCCACCAAATGAAGACTAATGTAGGCAGACTTCGCCATTCACTAAGTCTGCCCACATGAAAAAGCTGTATTGCAAAACTCCTGGCAGTACTTCCTCTCACCAATCCTGTCGGCTGTATCACTTCACCCACATACAGCTCCTTGAAATAATTACATGAAATCTCTGCATATCTGCACCTCTACACTTCCTTTTTCTTGTGTTTAGTGACTGTTTTGAATGGTTAAGAAGAACAAGAAGATGTAAGCTCAAAATACAACTGTCACCTGTTTGCCACTCAAATTATAGGTCAACTTGATTACTATGAAAAATTATACTGCTTAAAAGAAAGAAGTGTTTTGGATTATTACTTTCCTGCCTCTCTCCTGAATGCAACTCAGACCCGTAAGTATCAAGTAATGGGGTGGAAAGTACAAAGCCTAGAAACCGTTCACATAAAGCTACTGCTCAGTCTCAATTTTGTTAATTTAAGGCCATTAAAGAAAGAAAGGATAATTTCTGGGTTAACAAGTAACAGAATTGAAGAGAGGAGCCTTTTGTTTCCTAAAAGGCACATCAGAAAATTGGAAGTGTATGAATTGCCAATAGCACCTACAAGAGGAATGAAAAAAAAAGATTAATTACTCTTGACTGTAAGCAAGGTACACATGGGTGTAATCACAGTAATTCTGATATTTCATTAAAAACTATGGCACATAAGCCATTTTATTTCAGTTGTGATTTGGATAATAGGCTGAATCTTAAAATAAAAAAAAAAAAATCGGTCCTCAAAATATCTAACAAAATAAAACAACCCTTGGTAGAAGGAAATTCCATCTCCTTTCTGACCGAAAGTAAACTGTTATTGAAGCCTCCAAATAAGTCCAGGGTCAACATACAAAATTGTACCCTCTGTCATGTAGGGCTCAGGTAAATAAGACAAAGCTTCTGCAAGAAAAATACTTCGAAATCTCAGGCAAGTCTGGTCACCAGGAACCTCACCTAACTGTACACAGGTTGGTTAAGTAACAAAATTAATAACCCAAGCTACTTCTCCTGCCAAAGGGACAGACAGACACTACCTATGGCAGTTCAGCCAACAGGCAGTATTTAGAAATATCTAAAATTATATTTAACAAATCTTATAGTAAATAATAAACTTTGGGATGGCTACAACAACATAAAAAAATCAACTCCCATGTTTTCAAAAAGTGCAGAAAATCTTACCCAGGACTTCTATTAAACTCCAGAATTTTACTGAAATATAATTTCTGCATTAGCAACTCTGTAACAATTTACTGGGAGACTGCTCCAAAGTTTTTAGGAGGGGAAATAAAAATCTCCTATCACATATATTAAAAACTGTAGTTGCAATTTCCAAGATTTTACTTTTAGAAATAGTTCATTGTACAACTATCAGAGTATTATTATGAATTTCATTCAGTTTGGCCACAGTTATCTTTGTTTAGGCCTTTGCAAAGCCAATGAGTGTCCCAAGGTCTGCTTCCTTCCAATTTCAGACTACAAACATGTTAATGAAAAGTAAATATCAACACTGCTTATTCATTTCCATTCATGAATGAGACATACATCCCACCACGAGGAAGAAAGGCAGGCTAATCTCAAAGCAGTGGGAAACTACAGTGCAAATTTTCTAAATAAAATAAGGTTAACTGGTTAAAAAAACAAAACAAAAAAAACCCCACACCTACTCGAAAGCACTAATTATAAAAGTTTCAGTTATGTACTGAATTTAAAGAAAAATGTTCTAATACAGGAAGTTTGGGCAGTCCTGAGCATTGTTTCTCTGCATTACACACATTTTCCAGCAAGGGGAGCCCATACCTCACACACACCTGAAGGTCTATTTTTCAGTCTCTCCAACTATGAGTTTCTGATTTTATGAACCCATGGTAAACCAAGGTTATTATGCCTGTTCCAGTAATTTTTTTTAAAGTATTTTGTAGAAGTCTCAACAAGTTAAATGGGTAACAGTTAATAACATGATATGCATTTGACATACCACAGTCAAGGACGAAGTTCCTTATGAAAATGTTCATTTTTGTACTAAGTTACCATGCACATAGGTGCACTACTTAACAGCACACCAACAAATCTAGTTTCAAGTACTTAGTTTGACAACACTGTTCTTCAGGTAAACAACAAAGTTATTTAACCTGACTCTAAAATAATAGACAAAAAGAAGGCTGGACTAATGACAAGCAGAGATGAAGTCAGGCTAAAATTCTGTAGTTAGATTTCTCTTTGATTCATTTATGCTGTCCAAATTGAAGTAACAGTGAAGTTACTATACAGAGTCATTTGCTAAACCCAATGGCATGGGCTTTGGTCTTGGGAGACCTGTCTGTTCCAACCTTATAACCTCCCAGAAATTCTGGACTTCACCTCCTCTATTACAGAGCTGTTGCCAGACAGTTATATTAAAGATGATATGAAGTATTAAGATGCTACATTGATGCACGGCATTTCATTGATACTGTTAACGCTGTTCCTAAAGTGTTCCTTTAGTTCCTTTAGAACTGTTCCAACAGTTCTGGTTGGTGCAAACCCACCTCTCTTCTAACCAGGTACAGCTTGAGGAATAGCACAGGCAAAGGACGTTGCCCAAAGGCAGCTTAAATGTAGCCATCCTGTTTTGGAAAGTAAGAGTGCTTAGGTAGGGATATGAATCACATTGTGCCATAGAATGGCATCTGGTCCTTTTTAATTCATACCATAGGAAGACAGACCTTAGATAACAAACTTAGCCCCAGATAACAAACTCTAATCAGAAAGGCAACAGTCCTGATTTAAAAGAAAAGTTTAAAAAGTAATTTCCTACAGCTCAAGCTATTAAATACTAATATTTGCATTTGGCTTAAGATTTGTACGACGAGACATCTATCTGTTCCAAATGCACAAGCACATGTTAGACTGTACTGCTCATTTCATTCAGAAGAGTAAACCAGTAACAAATCTAGATTAACATAATTCAGATTCTGCACTGACCTTTGGCTTTCTCTGCTAGAACATTCATCAGCAAAACATCAAGTAAGCTTCATACCATCGTGAACTAAATTCAGGTTTTCAACTTACCGTTATCACAATTCTTATATTCCATCCTCATTTCCTCTACAGAGCTGATTCCTTACATATGCTGTCTTTTATGGTTTTATAATCAAGAACACTGTGGCAACAGCAAGTATTGCCAAGTACTGAACTGCACTAAGAATGTAGGCATTCTAAACTAAATGTTGGCATTTATCATTCAAGATTTGTGCTCTTGGCTTCACCCAGGAAAAATTACATCCAAAAAAATACATCTGCCTATCAAATACTTCTAAACAGTTTAATTGTCTAGGTTCTGTTTTGTCCATCTAACATTTAACTATTAATGCAGTATGAGACTCTGATAGCCCAAATGTGAACAACTTTGCATATGAGTGCCATGACTCAATGTGCTATGGCTGTAACACCCTGGAGAAACCAAAACAAACGCAGCAGTAACAAGGTCCACTAATGTACCTGGCCTTCAATATGCACAGAGAAGTTTGACAGCTTACTAACAGTTTCAGTTGAACAAAAGTCACTGGTTTTGCTTAGCTGATTGTTTTCAGCTTTGTTTCCTCATGGATACCTGTTCTAATTAGGTTAGTTATGTACCTGCATCAAAACACTGCAGATGGAAGTAAGATAGTTTTATTAACAGTCAGTATCTATCAAAAATAATAAATAAAAACTGCAGAGAAGACAATAGCAAAATTAACTGCTGTTTAACTTTTATAAATCCTTGAAAGTAAATAAACTTTTATAGGAAATAGTTCTTAAGAGTGGTCATCATGGGAAAAGTTGCTTTGAAAGACTTGAAAACAGTGACACTCTTCACGCATGTACTTTCGATAATAGATATTCTAAAATAAATTAACATGCACCCTCTGAGGTATTCAGTCTTACAAACATCCCCTTAAGAGCACTGCCCTTCATCCTTAGCCACATGGGGCATTTGTCATATATTCAGGTTTCCGAAAACACAGAATTAAGTAAATGATATCTGGAACACCTACCATTGTCACTGTCTCGTTCAGATGGGATACTGTAGCTAAAGTTGTCCCATGTTTGTGCCTGTGTAAGTGTGCTGAAGGAGATAGGAGGAAGACTGAGGGATGGGTCTGTTGGAGGGGAGTGATAGTCCAGTCCAACCATGGTGGTGTAAGGACCAGAGCAGGGAATAAAAGGGGGCAGCAGCATTTCATTTATGGCATTAGGATTTGTATGGTAATGACAAAGATGTAATTCAAAGGTGATTAATACAAAATGCGTAATTTTTGAGAAAAGAATGACAGATGGTGCAGAATAAAAAGAGCGAAAAGTTATATGTTAGTACTTGCAAATCATACATCATATGTGCAGTTAAGGCTGTTAAGCTTAGCAAGATCACTGTAACCATAGCACTTCACACAACTTGTATAAACCACATTTTAAGAAAAAATACCCACAGATTTTATATTATAGCCTGACAAAAACCTTGACTCTGTGAATCAGAAGGTAAATATATCAGCTGTGAAGCTTCAGCAATGAAAAGTTTAGAGACTAAGAATTTTGATATTTTTTGTAACTATGTAATAAGAAAACGTCTTCATCTAAAGACAAAGAAAATGTGCACATCCATATGAAAATATTATTACAACTTCCTAGCTGATTTTGATAAGTAGCAACTACATTATCCCTTGGATTCTCATTCTGTTGAAATATGTTCTGTAAGTACGTGGATTACAGATGTTTTCCTTTTGTTTTAATTCACTCAGTAGTACATGCAGCACTATTTTTATTTCTTGCTGACTCCCTCAGCAGTAAGTTCAAACCTACAATGGGCCCACAATCCTAGGAAAGTTCTTGTTCTCTGCAATTTTTACAGACTTTCCAGGGACAAGAACAGACATAAATTACCTCCAAAGGCTGATCCTCAGTTTGCACCACAAGCCTTGGCAAACCTGCACCGTAAAGATTCTTCTAACAAACACAAATTCAGTAATGATCCAACTGGGCTCCCTAAAGCATGCAAAATCACACATATCCACAGAAGCTGCAACAGAGTCTGGAGACTGTTCACCAGATGACTGTAAAAGCACGTCATGCTTACAGTCCCTGACCACTCACCAACTCATTATGGAGCTAAACGTGTACAGCAGTGCAGTCTCTACTCTCCATTCATCCTGCCTCCTCTGCTTGAACTAGCCATAACACCACCTCGTATTTGTTCCTCAAATCCTTCAGTGGACATTTTTATTCCTTCCCAAACACGTCTACTCTGCACTTCAGTCTCCTGTCTTCATTATGGCAAAGATTTCCTCCAGAGTTTTCCTCAAACCTCCATCCTTTCCAAACTTCCCATTGGTTTCCTATTTTCTGATGCAGAATTTAAATCTCTTCTTCTCTTTCCTTCACAATGATGTGACTCCTTAATGAGCTTTTCCTGTGTCTGATCACAATGTTCCTTACCAGTTCTGCCACAAAAATTATGAACTCACTTATTTCTTGGTTTCCTTTATAATTTTCATGTTTTATCTACTGAATCTCATGCACAAGCAACATTTATGCTCCTCAAACTAAACTGGAAATTATAAACCACCTCTATTCTAAATACTAAACCATAGCCTTAAATCAATTTAAAATTACTGTGTAAATCAAAGAGCAGCTAAAACCATTTAATATTAGAAGAAAATACAAGGCAAAGTTTCAGTCAACACAGAAAGTCCTTATTTTGTACCATTCCAAAGTAATAATCATAAGGTTCTTAATCACAAAGACTTTCGCCTTCTCACAATTCTGGAATCTGTATTAACAAGATGATAATTCAGGCAGTGTTGTATAAAAATTCACCTTAAACTTCTCTTCAAACTCAGCTGTTCAAAAGCTCTCTTTAGCTATGCCTTTTTTCAACAAACTTGCAAGACAGAGAGGCAAGCATGTCCACAGATACTAACGTGGTGTTTCAAATCCTCTACATGTTAGCAAAAGTGAAGACACTGTATTCGCAGATAAGATTATGTTAAGTAAACATTTGCAAAGTTATCCAATGTTTTATTTTTTCCAAATCCTGAAAGGACTTTTGCTCATCCTTTAACCCATACTTTAAATATACAGAGAAACAACATCTCTGAAGCATCAGGAACAAACAAGAATAGACCCAGAGTTTAATAGTCCAACTAAGAAAGGCAACTGAACAGATCTGTCAAACTGTGTATCATAACTGCATGAGAAATTTAAAATACCCTCTGCATGAAACGTTAGTTCAATACCATTTTCTTTGCTTTCTAAAACTTTGGTTTTTTAAAAACTAAATCTGTGGGTACAATTTCTTAAACATTCAAATGTGAAACTGCTGCCATTATTGCGAAGATATTTTGCTATGGAAACTACAAGCTTGTAGTGGTTTACCAGCATTTGATTAAAAGCATTTGTGGGGAATGCAAGAAACCAGAATTAGCCTTAAGATGCTGAAACATACTGAAAAACCTATGATTATTCTTTAGAGGTGGTGTGAGATGACTTAATATTGACTATCTCAGTATGGAGAAGACAAAAACTGAGTTTAACAGTGCAGCTAATCCTATTTTTAAAGGAAGCTATTATCTAAGCCATCAAATACATAAACTTAACTTTTTTTTTGGGAGGGGGTATTTTGGTTTTGTTCTTTTAATAAACTGTTGCTTGTTAAAAGATTGACAGTTATGCAGATTCAGCACTGCAGATTCATTAAACTCAGCTGCTGGCTGAAGTACACATCTAATCTTTCTATAAATGCTTGATCCTTACACAAGCAGAACCACTGAGAGACTCATTGCAATGAGCAATTTTCAGAGCGCTGCATAATCATCTTCCAAACAAACCTAATTATTCACATATATTATTCAACCAAATCTAAACTGTATCACTGCATACCAATTAAGCAAAAATCGTATTCCATTAGTATGTAACCACAGATGATATATATGTATATGTGTATAAAATATGTGTATTTATATACATACACACATTTTTTTAACCATACACACATATAATTTCATAAAACACCTGATTAGTAAGGGATGAAAATTGATCCATATATAATGTGCCAAATACATACTTGTTAAAAATTCACTCCTGATTCAAACCTATAACCTTAAAATGTTCTAATATTCTAATTCTTGTTAGAAAATGTCTCATCACTGCCTTCTTAAGGGGAAAAAATACTGACATCTATTAATAACACAGGTGTGAAAAAAAGTACACAAAAATTGGATAATTTTCTTTCCCACATTACCTGATCGTGGCTTCAGGCCAAAAGGAATTGTGGTGTTTGTAGTAGGAGACATTGTCGGACTTTTATCCTTGTTCTGTGTGATTAAAGAACATAAATCTAAGTAAGAGTAACATCTGGAATATCTCAGCACAACTGACTGTATAAAATGCAAAAGTTAATGATACAGCACCCTGCAAATATTCCACCATAATCTGATCACAATGTAGCCTCAAACCTATTATAATCTCTCTTTTTTATTCTGTCCTATTCCTTTGCTGGGAAAGATGAGTTTCTGACCAAAGACTGCAAGTTACTCCCCCTAGCTAGAAATAAGCTCAACCTTTTCTCAGTTTTCTCCCACGTAATCACTTGGTTCCATCAAACAAACATTTTTGTGGCATAGTACACTTAGAAAAACAAAGACACATTTTTTTCCTTAGATACATTTGTTTCTTTCACAGAATTACAATTCTGCATGGTATTTTCCATGCAACACTGAACTTCTGCTTAAAAAACAGAAGAGAGAAAGGTGACCATATTCCTCAGAGCAGGATTGCCCTTGACCCTGGAACTAGGCTACCAGTTGCAGCAGGAAGAGTAAAGTAGCAACATTCAGGAGAAGGTGAGGCATAATCCTCAAACCATCAGTGGTAATAGAAAGTGTTTTACAACCAAACTTCATAATGGGAATCCTTCTTAAAAAGTGATTCCTCAGAGAGCCAGGAACTACAGGAGTCCCATCACCAAGACAGGTGGAAGGTGGCCGAGTGCTCATGAATTTTCAAGATGCTCATATACAGAACAATGTAAAGGGAGAAGCCCTGCTTTTGCACAGGAAATACGAAGGGGGAAAAGTCACCTTAATGAGCTCTCTACAGTTTCCCTTTTTGATCTTCTGCTGAGATTCACACTATGAAAGTGACAGGATTAATAAAATCAGACTCCTCTGAAAACTAATCAAGGTCATGACACAAGTGTGCAAAAGGAAATTGCACTGAAATCAGTAGAAACTCTTGTGGAACAAGGAAAGGTGGAAAATAAAGGTGGCAGAATAAAATAAAAACTAAAAAAAGATACATGTTTTGTACTAGACTACCTAACTCAGAAACAAGCTTATCAGAAAGTACATTTTTTTATACTCAATTAAATCCTTAAGACAAGAAGAAACCACAGGCCAAATAAACCACACAGCCATCACTGATGAGCTCAGTCATATTTTCTGTGATATTCAATTACATGTTTCATTCAGTGTATGAGCCATTCATATAAAACATAAAAGAGACAAACAAATGACACCAGCATCTTACCTCATTATGAGAAGTTTGCCCACTTGTATTCCAAACAATTAGATCATTCTGTGTGTTTGGAAAGGAAAAACATTTCAGCAATTGTAATAGCGATAAACCACAACAGGGTATTTTACTCATGATACTCAGATACACAGTAATACTTATTATTGCTTACTTTTCACTGAAACAATTTTCATGAATAATGAATACTGTTATTGCTAGTTGAACAAAAAAAAAATTGTGGAAATTATTTACGCAGATTTGTCATTAATTTTTTATTTTCAATCCTAAGTAATTATAACTGTGTTTATAAGACTTAAATGCTTGTTGGTTCAAATGCAGTATCCAATTCTGTTTCACAAATTTTGGAATAAACTATCACCAAAAGTTTAATATGCAAATATATTTTTTTTAATATAGATCTGAAGAGAAAAGTATTCTGTAAGTGATTCATTTTATAATTAAAATATAACATACCTTTTGTTACCACTTCTGCTACAGCTAAGTTGGAAGCAGGTAATTCATGTCAATAAATATGAAATACTACCATTAATTCTACATAAATCATAACTCAGCAGAAACAGAGCTGGCATAACTAAACACATAAATCAATTCAAAGTAATTTCCTTAGGACAATTTTTTTTTTAATCAATAAAAAAATGGAAAGAAAAATAAAAGATGGCACTTGGAACACTAGGTCCCAACAGCCGCACAGCTTTCCAAAAGTTAACAAGATGGGAAGGAAGACTGCACAACTATATTACTTCATGACCTTTCAGAGCTGCTTTTCAAGCTTAAAAAAAAAAAAAATCTTCAGCTTTAGACATCTTTCATAGTATTACCTCAACCACTTTTACCTAGACTAAACTGATAGAAACTTTACTTGTCTGATCCCAGCCAGGTCTACCTGGGGACTCTCACACTTGAGCACTCTCCTGTGCTCAGGGCCAGACCAGCTGGTTATGCCGATGTTGCAGGTCTAAACGCTCTCACAGCATGCAGATTACGAGTCAAGATTTTGAATTTACATTAAATTGAATTAATTTAGTAACACAAGTAGTAACACAAGTGCTTGCTGTACTACACAGAATGCAGCATGATTAAAAACTTGCTCTTGCAAGATGTGTTTCCATTTCATGGAACATGCCTAATGCTTTCACCTGCATAACACAGTCCAGATCAAGCCCTCTACAAGTGTTTAGGAAGATTTATTTATTCTTTTTAAAAGGCTCTTAAAAGTAAATCAGCAATGTCCTTGCTAAACAGTTCACCAAAATACACAGACCACACACATTTTGACAGTTAATCTCAGCAATGTAGTAAGAACCGTTCCAAATAGTGTGGTAACCTTAATGCACAACAATATAGGAAAGAGATGGACCAACTCTATTTTTTGAATTTTAAATTATAAAGAAAAAACAAAGACAAGATTAAGACTAACAAAGTCACAAGGACATAATAGGAAAATTTAATGGTCATGATGATTATACGTAAGAAGATTTGAAAAAGAAACCAGATTCAATCAATATCTGCATAAAACAGACCACATTGAGGTACTCCCAATAAGGACAGAATATTATGTAATTTTTTTTTTCTCAGAATCTTCTTGGAAGAACAGTCACAAAAATCCCTATGCAAACATGTTCAGAAGTAATTACATATGCATCAAATATTTAAATCAGACTTTTTTATAGTTCTTCATTTCTGGATCATTGCGATGTACACATAACTTAAAAAGATTTTTGAAACTTTAAAACTATAATCTCAACCTATATACAGTCTGTTATACTACCCACGTTAAAAATGCTGCTTTTAACAAAAACTTAGCAGCTTATATAACTACAAGAGTATTTAGGGTGAGGGAGAAAAGGAATCGGGTCTTTCATTTTACTGAAGATCTAACTGTGAGGTGACTCACATTTTCCAGGAGAATGCAACCACTACAGTGCTTATTAGAAGAAAATACTTTTATGAATTTCATCATACCAGGTTTTTTTCCTGATAGGTCTTAATTTCCCATTTACGGCCAAACCTTGAGATTCATGATAAGACAAAAAAAACCAAATAAACAACAAACGAAACCAAAAAAGTCACCCCACAAACCAAAAAACCTCCAAAACAACGAGCCTAAACCCACTATTATCTCCACACACAAACTGACAGAATGCAATGATCCATTCCAAATGTTTCCACATTTACTGCATCTAAAGAACTCCATACCTGTGTCAGTGACCATTTTTCATTCTGCTCACAAGTTCTCAGTTCAGGCTTTGTTTTCTCCATAATCAACTCCCTCCTCCTCTGAAATTCTAGTTCCTCTTCAGCATTTTCTCTCTGTAAGATAAAGAACTCTCGAGACTATCACTGGAAACAGAACTGTATCTGGTTTTTGCATAACTCAAGTTATGTACCTCAGAAGTACTTGTTACAAATACTATGATGAAAAGCAAACAACGAAGTCAGCAGACACCATATACTTGCAGTTCCAGTGCTAACATGTAGATAATGTAAATCTAAATAAAGTATGTCATAAAGAACCAGTTCACCAGTCAGGATATATATCAAATAATAAGCAGCATATATGACACTGTGAAACTCCATATCATTCTTTATATATAATCTGCAACTATAGAGACATTGCTCTGGGAAAACATTAATTTTTAGTTTACACAGTATTTCTGGGTTATCCTTAAAGAATGTACCCTTTTCCTACACCAGAACAGGGAGATAGGGGAATGGGATGGCAGATGAGTAGGCATAGCTGAGCCATGAGCCGGCATACATGAAAGCCACACATGGTGAAAAAAAACAACTAAGATGAAAGAGTCAGTCATAAACCCGAAGACATTTTTTATATACACATATAAAAATTGGAAAGATTTCCACTAAAAATGTTAACGAATAATTAAGTCTTTCCCTCCATTCTACTTATTTTTTCTTTTCCCTACTTGGTAGATAAATAATTGATGAAGTTGTTGGCTCACTTCCTGCCTCTTCCCCCTACCCCCAAAAATGTAATAATACACTCATTAACATACCTGACCAAAGGAAGACATCTCCATCTGCATTTGATCGCTACGTATAAAGACAAACAAATGCAAATATGTAATTCATAGTGTAGAAACTTGGATATGGTGAATCTAACAAATGCATGATTTATTTTTTTTTCCTCAAAAAAGGTAGATAAACACACTTTACTGTAGACTCCTGAAATTCTAAAGCTGCTGCTGGTTCCATGGGATACAGATTCACACCACTGCTCTCTGAAATATCCATGCTTAATCTGCAAGGTTTGAAATAAAAATATTGCACTGGGGTAGAGCTTTGGTAACCATTCCATTCAGTATTTAATTTCAAACAAATGGATATATTAAATACTTCTCTAGTCATGGTCCTAACCTGCTCAGTGTTATCTCTTAACTTCTTGAAATGCCTCCTGATGCTTCACTGTCACCAGTTTAGCAACATTAATGCTTTCCCCTGCAAAATGTCACTCCGAGCAATGGCTTGTATCAAAACAAAAGGACCTATTTACTACCAACAGCCATGCCATTATCTAGGAGACTGCAGATTTCTATATCCAAATTCTAGCACCCTGTGTTCAAATAGAAGCCACAGCCCTGGTTAGATATACAGATTTAATTTACAGCGGATGAAAATATAGCAGTGCAATAATAAATTCACAACAGACAGTGATCTGAAAGAAAGCAGTGAATATAGGAAAGGAAACATAGGAACATGAAAGAAGTATCTGATGCACAAAGAAAACCTCTTTGAGGAAAGTTATCAACTTTGACATGCTCTATGTTTAAGTCAAAAGCACATGAAGGCTTCTGTTCATCTTAAACTAAGGAACAATGAAAGCATTTAAATTCCTTTGTGGATCTAGATAAAGACACAAAAACTATTCAGTATGAAAAAACTAATTTTTCCTCACAGTGCTTTATATAATGCAAGTATATCACAAACTGCCACGTAATCCAGTAATTATAAAAGCAATGATGAGGAACCCATGGCCCAGAGGACTGAAACTCTACAGCATCATTTGGCAAGTATTAGGCACCCAGGTGTGTCTTGCTGGGTACGTCTGCATGTTAACATACAAGAGACATATACTGAAAAGCTTATATAGCAATCAGTAAATTAAAAATAAATACTCATATTTTAAGGTTAGAAAAAGAAAGTGCAGTCAGAATAAAAATACGGTAAAAAAGGCAGAAAAATTCAGGCATGCAATAAAAATACAGACATGTATGACATGATTAGCTATTTTTAAAAGCCACATTTCAAATTTTCTCTAGTGTTATTAATTAAAGGACATCTGAATACGCATGGAGAAACAGATTAATTTTCTGTATTTTACTGCCCTTTTAAATTAAATTAATAAGAAAAACTAAATATGCAGGAAATATTGGGGCAATATTGACAATATAAACAAACCAAAATGATAAAATGTTAACATTTTATGTTAAACATAAAGACTAACAACTGAATTTTTTTAAATGTCCTTTTTTTTCCAAACCAGACTTTCTAATTGCAACACTTCTCTCTCAGAGTAATAAACCTCATACTTACAGAAGCAACGGTATACTATCTCACAGGAACCACGGGAACTAAAATGCATTCCTAATTTGCACAATTTTTTATCAAGCAAAAATACTTGTGATTCAAGTTTTTAGTATATGAATCAAGAATCATGTATTCTTTACACGATTCAAAATAAAACCAGATAATTATGTCTCTAGAAATTGTCTCCGTGAATTTCTATCCTAAAAAGTACAAAAGTATAACTGGAAAAGCAGAATCAAAATAGGCATGTAAAGAAGAACAGTGTAGTCGCAAGAACAGTGAACCAGCCAAGGGAGGAAGGAGAAACAAGGATACTTTAGACCAGAAGTGACAAAGAGTTTTTAGTCTTTGAAGAAATTAAGCTCTTAACCATAGAAGTAATGAAGAAAAATGAGTTACCTAGTTTTGAAGTGAACTTCTTCAATTTCTGAAGGTAGTTACACAAAGAAAAGCAATAGCAAGCATCTGGAAAGAACGTCCTACACCACTCGACAGCCTTTTTCAGTAGGACAAACATCTATTTTCTTTTAAATACTCATTCCTTTGTTTATTCACAGGTCTAGAGTTATTCCACTTGACTTCAGCCACTTAAAACAGGTATCTAAATTATAAAACCTTATCTTTTGTTGCACGGAAAAATCTAAATAACGTTCTCTAGCTGTCTCTTTCTCCTTTTGATGTCAGAGGTATAATACAGAAACTCCACCCGCTAATTCAGGTAGCTCCTTTATGTGCTCCACTGAGGTGGGATGAAGCTGGGTCAGAAGACCTTCTCTAATCCCCTCAAAACACACCAAGCTTTATTAAGTAGAGGAGAGTTTATAGTCCCTAGAAGAAACGTGACTATCCTAGACAAAACTTCATAAAAAACACAGTATACACAAGATAAATGGTTAAGAGGTGTCTCCACCTCTAATTTTAGGTTTCTTAAATCTGAAATCCTTCTCAGTTTACTGGGAATCTTGTTTAGATGCTCATTCCTTCTTAAATATCTAAGCACCTCCTGAAAAACATCAGTATGCCAACAAAACACTTCATAACTCCAGAGAGCTTCCAATTTTTAGTTAAAGAACTCCAAAGCCATTCACAGAAATTGTAGATATATGACATTAAAACACCAGCTACTGTAAGCATACCTGTTGGGATCTTGTAATAAATCTACTGCTTCTCTTAGTTGCTCTATCATTGCTATATCAATAGTTTGCTCTTCTGATAAATTTACTCTATAACAGAAAACAAAAGCATTCAAAAAAGGGGTACAACAGCAATTATCAAGGGTAGTCTGAAATTCAATTTGTGAGCTGTATCTTCCAACTGGCATGCAACTGCTACAGAGGGGAAAAAATACCAGCCTCTATGCACAGCAGTGTGTGCTGAATTTATGGTGTTTCCTCTGAAAAAATCCTCCAGCACTTTGTCCTTAACAAAGCCCGCCAACCCAACGCATACATAAACAAACACGATGAACTAAAACTTTTAGCATTTCAATAAAACAGGTTAACTTTTAAAAATCAAAATGTATTTAGCAATATTTGACTGTTATTAACTGCGCTCATCACATACTTTGTTTTAACGAAAGTACTAAATACAATGATTCTTTTAACGTACCAGCATGCTTTCTTTTGCTTTTCAACATCTGTAATTCTTTTTGGGATTCAGAGATATAATCAACTGTTAAGTTTTGGCAATAAGGCTCTTTCAGAAAGTACTTATTACTCCCTTCCTCCAATTTTTGTTTTTAAATAATATAGGACTCCACTGTTCTGTTCAGTAACAACTTCACAGTACACTGTCACACTAAATCCCCATTTCTTATGCACTCCCCACAGCAACTGAGGTTCACTTGCTTTGCTCTTGAACTAATGTCTATGAATTAATGATTGTTTCAGGGTTAAAATTATGACAAAGGAAGAAAAAAGGCTGAGGGATTTTTTCCAACTAAATTACTTTTTTTAAAAAAATGTATATTAAATTTAGATCTTACAAGTTTTGATAAAATCCCTTTTTACCAATGTCATTAGCAGACTAAATATCAAAATACCTAATTAAAAAGCTTACATTTGGTATAGATAAAAATATGACAGCATTATTGGTGCATACAAATTAATTAGCTGTAATAATGAGTAAATGCAACACGTGTAAAACACTGAGCACACACAAAGCGCACAGCTGTGCTTCTGTCATGCCTCCAAGTCTACAGAATTATTAACTGATAAGGAAATGCCAGTTCTGGTCAATCTAATTAAATGACACAGCCAATTACTTACAGATAGATAAAAAATACTCACATTTCGTCTGTTTGCCATTGTGCGTCCTCTTCTATTCTCAGTAATTCATCACACTCTGCTGCTCTGCTCTGTAAGCAGACAAAGTGATTTTGAGAACTGAACTTTGCATTTAAGCAGACAGAAAAATTTTGCTTTCAGACTCAGCGCTGACCTAATTTCTGTAACAGTTTAGGGTGGCTAGTTAAAGCAATCCAATCCTTCTGCTCCACTCCTCACTCTACCCCCTTTTAAGATACTGATTACAAGATCTTCTATTCACTGTTCAGATTTTATTGAGGTCAACAGCCCCTACCCTCCTTTAACTGTAAAAAGAAAGTCAAGCGGCATGAGAATTTTTTATTCTACGTCCCAGATTTCCTATGTGCCTTTCTGGTGTACGCAAACAATGCTTCAGCTGAGCATGACCCTAAATTTCCTATTTCTTTCTTGCTCTCCTCCCGCAGACAGATTTGTTTGGAGTAAGGAATTTCCAAATATGCAAACAGTAGCAATTATATACTTCATCTGTAATTATTACAGGACTCCTACCTGACAATTTCAACAGCGGTTAACCATTTTTTTAAAAAACAAATCAGAACAAAAACCATGTGCAGCAATTCATAACAGTCAGCCAGTTATTTTGGGTTCAATATAGGCACAAATTAGAGCCCCCACTGTCCTACTATAACTATGAAGTGCTACTTATCAGAAAACATAACTCTCTCTTTTATGCTTCCATTTGGTGCTTTGCAGTTTTCTTTTCTCTTTCACCCCAGATAGGCAGGAACACTGAAGCAGTTCAGCTGCCAGTAAAGACAGAAGCTCTCTGAATGGATGTGCATCCATACTCAGAGAATAAAACAGCAGAAAACAGAGCTTATCCTCTTCTGTGTCATCCGTTTGGCACATCGGTCGCATCACCCTGTACCAATAAATGCCATCCAACTCTGCCAGATGTGTCACTGCAGAGTGTTCCAGCTTCTCTAACATCCCCCAGAGATGGCCCATTCCCCAGTGGAATTAATAAAGCCATTTTTTTTCCTTTTTCTTCTCCTTACAGGAATGAAATACATGATTTTTCCTGTAAGAAAGGCATATACTGTAAGACAAAAATGCAGCATGTATTCTAGAAGGTGATCCCTAGTCTCTGGGCATAATTATATAGATAAGATGAATAAAGCCATATAAATTAGGACCAATAGTTGAAAAATTACAAAATCCTCCAAGCCTAAGCTCCTACTTTGCACTGCAAGTTGTACTGATTTTACGGTTTGGTTAACAAGATTTTCAATTTTAGAACACCCCCTCAGTGTCCCAAAAGGCGTTCTAGTACATGACAAAATATAAACCAAAGAACACAACACACTTCGAAATCTGCACAAGAAGGAAAATGCCCTGAGTTCAAAATCCTCAGAATAACAGTACTACCTGTTTAAGTCACCAACTGCTGATCTCAACTGCCATAATGTTAAGAAGATATCAGAACTACAAAAAATTAAACAGTTCACACTGGCAATAATCTTAATACTGAAATTCAACACAGAAACCTATATTTTATTGAACCAATGTCTGCAACTCACTATAGATAATATAACCTTACTATGATAGAGGATATTCCCAAGGAAATAGTCTTGAAATGGTACACTACTGAAAAATCAAGATGGTGAAGTGAGAAGAACAAGGAAAGAAAATACAATGTATTGTCAGCTTCAGATGTGTGTACCCCTTAGTCAGAGGAAGATGAAAGGATTCTGTTCCCTTTCTCCTAGTTCATCTATCTCAAATGTGCATACTTGCTGAAAATTTGCATGCAGGAAACCCACGATCATTTGTTAACATTTTAAGTATCTAAAACCAAGAAGGTTTTAGTAGAAAAGCCACAAAAGAACAAGCCAACATAAGATAACCTGCAGAGCCCTAAACATCCAGCAACTATAGATAACTCTTCCTATCAATCAATGAAGTTTTAGACAACACTATTGCCATTTTAAACACTACTGAATTCACATTTGTAAATAACAAAAAATAATAAGCAACATGTATTTACTATGTAAATAAAGTTTTCAATAACTACGTGTCTTCAGTAACTATGAAAGCAGAAAGGTTTGGGTTTGTTTTTTTTCCTTTGTTTTAAAATGCTGCTCCTCTCTGGCTGCCACCTCAAAGACTCTGCAACTACCTGAGGAAGATCTGCTAGAATAAAACTCTGCTAGAGTTTTGCTGCTAGAATAAAACAAAAAGGTTGCTCAAATAACAAGATCTTCTGCAGAACCAGAAGTCTGTTCCAAGAAGTTGAAAGGCCACAACCGTTCTCTCTCCACTGTTACTTCTCGGTACATTTTTTCCTATAAGCAGTGGAAAACGGAAGTGATACAATGACTCTCTGCACCCCTTAAGAACTTCCACAGAACGAGAAAAATCAGTCTAACAACATCTACACTAGACAGTCCCTTCTGGCCTATAAATCAGAAGGAGACATCACAGCCACAGGAATACCATAAATCACTACTATTATCTAAATATATTTGCATTACAAAGGATCTAGCAAAAGTATTCAGCAAATAAATTTCCATGAAAAGAAATCCACTTGCTCAAAATTTCTCTACAATCTTTCAAAAACTCCTCAGTCTACCTAACGACATTTGATTTATAAATTCATCAGGCACTTTATGATATATACTAAAGCAAGTGACTTTCATGAGTTACCACA